TGCCATGGATTGGCATTCCTTCATGGAGAAAAAAAAGATACTCTCAGAGTTTCATGCCAAAGAAATACGTGGTAAACAATATTTTCTGGTGTTCCTTTCTTATAGTTATTGGAAGTTACACAGGACCGTGGTCATTTGACATCTGACCTGACCCAGTCCCAGAAAGAAGCCGAAGGGTTCAGAAGACAGTTAGTGGGTGCAGCCACTGCCTTGGAGTACGAGAAACAAGTCAAGGAGGCAGTACAGGTAAGTCCATGCATCCACTGGCCCGGCAGATCTGCCACATTAATGCCATGTCATAAAAGTGGTTTACTTTATTTTTTACAATAAAGTGTGTTTTTTGACTCCCACAAAATAACTTGATACATAGTCTTTGACAAGATTGACAAAAATGTTTAACCAATGAATGTGAAACACACAGATTCGGAGCACTGTCCTCTGATGAACCACTTACTAAGCCTTTGCAATGAGTTCATTAGGTATTTCAAAAATGCAAGGTTATTTGAGAACGAAGCACATGAGTTTGAATGTGGTTAGCACTTGTGAGTTGGCATATGACCATGCTCATAGGGCTGACCTGGTGCTCACGTATTGCTGATTGTGAATTTGACCTTATCAGATACGCTTCATTTTGGGCATGCGCAGTTGGAATATTGAACTGGTTTATTCTGTCCTTGAAAGCATGTGTTTGACTTGTATTTGCTTAAATCTCTGTTTGTGGTCACATGATACATAAACTTTGCTGTGATTAGCTACTGTATGCAAATGGTGATAAACTCTTATTTACTCTCATCACAGAGCTAATGTTGTATCATTCTTGATTCAGGAAAAATTTGACAAGTCTGAGGAGCAGCTGGCCCATTTACAACACCAGCTGGCAGAACTCCAACAGGACCACCAGCTAACCAATCAGAGATTGGCTGAGGCTCAAAGACAGACAGTTTTCCTCCAATCAGAGCGGGAGAAATATAAAGAGGGTCAGTTGTTTAGTTCTGTCTTGTGCTGGACATTTCACCTCATCTAGGCTGCTGATCTGGAGTTGTACTAAACCAAAACAGATATTTCCAGAGCAACTTTAGCTAGGTTAAATTTACTTTTGGTTTGAACCACTTACTGGTCAGTGTTATGCCTCAGTGAACTCGTTGAAGGCAAAGTGTTATAATTTTCGGTCAAATATACCGACTTTTGAAACAGACACTGTAAAAATAGTCTTTTGTAAAGTTGGAAGTTACAAATGCTGACCCATGTGATGTTTCTTACAGCATTGCCGCTGTTGTCACATTCTGAGATGATTTTAAGAGAGTAACATTTGCTAGAGACATGGCCCAAGGCTGTTCAATTGAGGGCTTCTAAGCTTAAACCTTGGTGGACTGTATAGTTTGATGCGTACCAACATTGCGAATCACTCATGTTTTGGAATGAGTGTGAAGATATACACATAGAGAAACTACCACTTGTTAAAAAGATCATTCATGCTTATACCTGCCACAGACAATTTCTGCCTGTTCGCACCATCTAGTGTGAACTGGTTTAGACAAACTTCATAAATTTCTTCAATTAATATTCCATCAACATTAAAATGAAAAATGGTGCTACCTTCTGCAAGCATATGGAAGATTAACAACCAACGTTTCTCAGTTTTGTATTTCCTGAATATTTTTGCAGACTGTGTAACGGTTTCGGCAGAATTGAAAAAGACAACTGATGCACTGCAGGCCCTGGAACAGCATACCTCGGTTACCATGGCAACCCGCGAGCTGGAAGCCAATGCAAAGTTGACAGAGAAGGCCATTTGGAATTCCGACCTGGCCAGGAGACTAGAGGCAGTGACTGAGGAGTGCAGTAAAGCCAGTGAGAGAGTCAAGTGCTTGGAGGGAGAGTTGGGAGATTACAGCCAGACCAAGGCTAACCTGGAGACGGCAAAGAGGTGACTTTTTTTCTCCAAAACCCGTGACACGTGATTTTGTTTGAAAAATTAACTCTATCAGAGCTGAGGGAAAGGGGGTGGAATCTGCTCTCATTGATGACTGTTCTTCCAGCATTGTCCCAGTGCACTTTCTTCTGCACCGAGCCCTTGGGACTTTTACCTGTATCTTGCAATTATTTGACACCAATTTTGTGAAAATCAAAGATACCATACCGGCCAAATGCCAATTTTTAAAGACTTGTTAGCCAAGTCTGTCACCTTTTTCCACTGATGTGTATGTAGACCTGGGCCAAGGACGTGAGATGCAAATGACCGTAAACAACAAAAACTTTATGTTGAAGTTAATTGAAACTTTAGAGATGTACTTGTAACAATTGCTTGTAGTGGCATGCCAAAGTTTGAAAAAGATCAAGATGTACGTGAGATGATGTGAAAAACCCTTGGTTTTAAAATAGCAGAAAAATTGCTGAGTCGTAGCCTGGAGCCCATGCATAGCAACAACGATTTCAACACACTTATTATGACTGAAGTCACCTTCAAAAGCATGCTTTTATGTGCTTAACGTTCGCAGTGTATTGAAAATGTATGTATGCAAAGTCACCCCATCAAACACAAAATGGCTACAAAGTGAGGTTTGAGGTATTTTTAAGTTTTGTCAAAACATTTACACGTATGCATCCAAAGCTTCAATGCACATGTACCTGCCTGCAGAAGATTTTTTTTTGTACTCCAGTAATTCAGCGTAGTTACGTAAAGTGCGTCCATCTGGTGAACTGGGTGTGGTCAGCCAAGAAAACTTTGACATTCTGCTGTCACACGTTATTCCAAATTTTAGATGTCACATCATGATTTTCATAACAAGGCCAAGATGCAACAAAGAAGCACTCATTTGGGTTCTTAAATAACCGGCTCTAAAAATTTTGTTCAGTCAGACCTGTCCAAGAAACAAGGAGCTAATCGGGTTATTATACATTTCATCAGCCCTCGGTAAGGTTTCCATTCCAGTTACACCGTGCCACAATTTTGTTGGAATAAAATCTCACTGTGTGAACCCATACTTTATAGTCCATTATCCCAATTTCTTTCATAAGTCCCTCCACAAGCCAAGTAACAACTCTTTTAACAGGACCAGGGGTAAGTGGCGCTGTGAACAAAGACTGAGGAATTCTTGTGCCACAGTTCATTTGAATGGCTTGTGACTTTTCTGAAGACTGCTTGACTTGTGATGGACTGGGGCGATTTGCGATGGACTCGAATACAATACTCATTTACACAAATATCATTTTACTATTAAAGTGATTTTTTAAAAAAACAACACGAGCCTTGTGTTTGCTGTGAATCTGATAGCTGCTGTAAACAGTTACAATCTCAAGAGGCTGAGCTGCAAGACAACTTGTCAGCCTGCCAGTCATCCTTGCAAGAATTAAGGGCACAGAAAGAGCAGCAAGAGGCAGACCTGGAAACCACACAGGAGGAGCTCAACAGCGCCCTCGCAGGGCAGAATGCCCTCAGGAAGAAGTTGAGGAAGCAGAAGGCGGGCTCAGAGAGTGCCCTCAAGAGCCTGGAGGAGGAGAAGGATGTCCTGACCAATAAGCTCACAGAGGTGGGAACTTTCCTATGAATATGCATGGTTTGACTCCTGATGAAGAAAGCTATGTAGTTGAACAAAGCTGTATGTGGGTGCTTTTTACACATTTTGTGTGTTTGAAAGAAAAATCACGTAACATACAATAAAACTTAATGAGAGCAAGTTGATGGAAATTAAATTGACCTACTCTTGACTTTTAATTTTTATTTCAAATTTTCCGGGGCAAGTGATTCAAATTTTGTGAAATTTCACTTATGATTGCAATCAGGACTGATAACAGTGAAAAGAAATTAGAGGTTGTAATGAGTATGCTAATCGATCAGGTATTTTTTTATTGAAAATAAAAAAAATCTGTGATACAAGTAAGAAATGATATAAGTATGCTCGGACTGAACCCAAGAGGTTCAGCAGCTACATTTCTCAAACACGGAATTTTGGAATAATATTAGCGGTAATTTTGCAGGCCAGCAAGAATCTGACCAACATTCAGCAGCAGCTAAAGTCGGCCCAGGATGCCAGACTGCATCTCCTACAGGAGAAGCACACGCTGAGTGAAGCCTGCAGCGTATTGGAGGAACAGAGCAAGCTGGGCCAAGAGGAGCTACAGAGGGCGCTCTGCAAGGCCGACAACCTTGCTCAGCAGTTGGACGAAGAGAAAGAGACCAAGGTACAGGTTAGACGTAAGTCACGGCATGCACGGCCCCCCCTGTTTGATGGAAACAGAAAACAGACTAGCACAAGTAGTGAAGTTACAACACTCACAACAAGAAAAATGCAGATGGCAAGGCCAGGGCACCTTCGCCATCTGTCCGAAATGCTTTCCTTTGCATTTCCATAACTATTTGGTAGAGAAATTCCCGTGTATAATGTATACATGTTGAGAAAAGTAATCAAATAAAAATGCAGATTTCCTCACATCTGTTGATTTGACTATGCGACCATAGACAAATCATGGAAAAATGAGCAATTTAGGTGCTGCGGCAGGCAACTTTGTGCAAGCAGATTTCCCCTATTTTGGACGGCATCAGTTGAATTTCATGTCACAAAGGATAAGATTTTGCTGGATATACACTCAAAACTGTGGGAAAGTAAACATGGTTGGGTGTACTGTAAACTCAATTTTGGTTGAAGCAGGACAGAAGCAGTCAATTCGTCTGAGGTTCAAATTAACTCAGGACTGATGGTTGTGTTTATTTTGCCAAATGAATTATTTGAAAACTTGCGATTTCCCTAGAAAAAGATATTAAGCAGGCATGTCACTTCCAATTGAGGCCAAATATGTTTGTTACAACAATCTCCAGATAATTTTGTTTGTTTCAGAAAACTTTCTGAAAATTATTAAAAATGCCATGGTGTATATTTGTTTTCCAGTGCCACATGCCTCCTCCATATAGCTGCCTATGCACAGCAGTGGGGCATATTAAACAGACAATGGAACTAGAGATCTGAAAACCTATGCCGGGGGCCAATTTCAAAGCGCTGCTTCAGAGAAAAACTTGTTCAAGCGTGAAAAAACCTTGCTTGACAAATCAGTTTACCAGCCAAAACTTCTTGTGATGTACATTGCTTTGGAATGATATTTACCTGTCTTTTGGTTAGCATGACAATCACATAAAGTTTGAGCTGGTAACCTTTGTTTATTAAGCAAGATTTTTTTCGTGCTTAAGCACATTGTATCTGTGCTTAAGCAGCTCTATGAAATTGGCCCCAGGTCCATTTATGAAATCTTTGGAGTAGCGTTTAAAACAAAAAGTAAGAATGTCTAAATGTGGATGTTTTTGGGTATACAGAAAGAGTTGCGAGATCAGTTAAATGAATCTACAGCACGCTTGACATCAATGGAGACTGCTCTCAAGGAGGAAAGGTCAAAGGTTGCCACCCTCTTAACGGAAATATTTGCACTGAGGGACACCTCGCGTGCTCACAAGACTCAAATTGTGGAGCTGACTGGCCAGGTACAAGACCTGCAGGTAGGTTTTTGGAAAGATGACTGTCATCGGTTGATATTCAAGCAAAAGGACCTGCCTTTCTCATTGGTTAAAAAGTTTCAAAATGTATACTTTCTCATAAATATTGACTTGTAAGTGCATGGCAGTATTCTGTATTCACTTATGTTAACTTTTGAGGATGTTTAGAATTAGAAAGGGTCCCATATTACAGATTACCCTGACAGGAATGAATAAAGTTGATTCATTAATTGTCATGAGTTTATTTTATGATTAATGCCACTATTCCCAGTTTATTTTCACAGGCGTGAATATTATGGGGACCAACTTTTTTATTTATATTGTTTCCGTTCCTTCACAAATCTGTCACTTTTTCCAAATGTTGCCAGAAAAAACAGGAGTGATGGAAAATAATCCAGTGGAATTTAATGTCTGTCCGATTGTCCACTCTCATTTTCGCTGTTCAGTTGTTGGCCGTAAACGGTTCGAATGGTGTGGGTTCTCTTATATGTGGGTTTTTAATGACAGATGGAGCTTCAATCAACAAAGCACACACGTGAGCTTCAGTACAGCAAGCTGATGTCATCTACAGAGACAACGATATCACAACTGGAGAAGACATGGTGGGTGTGACACAAATGACCAACTGTATATTGAAAGTATGAGATATCTGGCTGACCTTCAATACAGTACCCCAGCGTTGAAGTTATCATTGCACCTGCTCTGGCTTTCACGGTTGTGGAATCTATTCATTCTAAAGCTGTGCCTCTGCCAATGTCTCTACTTAAACATGGTTATTGCATAGTCTGAAACCTTAGTTGTGTGATATACAGGGTGGCCCCCCCAAACGCCCGAGCTATCTTATGCCCCTAACTATTCGTATGTGTGGATGGGGAATCTTCTTAGGAGGAGAATGACACCTTGATCAGTTGATTTGGTTGAGTAGTTTTGAGTGTGAAGCCTTTTATGTAAAGCAAGGTCTAGGGGTTCCAGTGATCAAGTTTAGTGGAAGTGATTCCAATAATCATTCACTGGTTATTGATTTTTTGGTACAACATGGGGAGGGGGAAGGGTGATTATAGCAAAGATGATAAGCAAATGCTTCTCTAAACAAAATTAGAACCTTTATTTTTAAACTTAACACTTTCCAGAAAATTTAACATAATTAACGTGCCACATTTTGCTCAATTTTCAACATTATGACCTTGCTTCACAAAAATGGCTCCAACGCCATAACCACTCCCCCTTTTAGGGTGCTCTTGGTGTCATTCTTCCTCTAAGAAGATTCTTTATCCATCCATACCTAGGCTTTAGGGTGAAAAATAGCTGAAGTATGCTCAAGCTTTTTTGGGGGGCCACCCTATATACTTTGGCAAAAGCAAAAATTCCTCGCTGACTTGCGGCACAGAATAACAAGGAAAAAGGTTCTTTGCTTGTAACTAAAAATATGGAACTCTTCAAAAGAAAATCTATGGTAAGCAGCTGAAATTCTGATTCACATATGCACGTAGTCAGCCAAACTCACATGCAATATGGCAGCTTCCTTAATTAGGGTTTTGATTGAGTGACAAGACATTTTAATGACTAACCTTTTCACGATGTTCAACCTGAAGTGATAGCCAAGAAGAGCAACTGAAAGAATTTAGCAACGAGAAGTGGAAACTGCAGGCTGAATGCAATCTCCTCAAGTAAGTTGGGCAGACATGTATCCAGCGTCATCTTCCTAATGGGTTTGCAATATTTTCTTACAAACATACAGGGCATCATTAAGACCCTCACATTTTGAAAATTTATGTCTACCATCAAATATTGGGCAAAATGTTATACAAACTACAGTGTATTTATTTTCTTTTTAAAGGTTTTCAACAGTTCAAGACTGTCTCCAAGTAAAAATCCTTTAGATTGCATCCAGACCTCACAGTATACATAACATTAATGTTTTTAAATCTCATGGTCACAAATTTATAAAAGTACTCACTTAGACTTGGCCTGCATGAAGGTTGAGTCCCTTTTTCAAAGTCCACGATCTATATTCACTGAAAAAAATTCCACATTGAACCCTCCTTAACTCTACTCCTACATTTGTGGCAAATGCGACAAGCTGGCCTTCAAAATGTGTCAGCATCCAGAAATAAGTACTCATCCTCTGAAAAGGACTGTTCTCGGTGGGGGGGGGGTGTTTGTCACGGATGGCAAACGAACTGAAGTGCAGCACTGCTTTCAATATTGCGTTCTAGCAATGCTTTCTCCAAGAGCAAGGCCGACTACAACCGTGCTCTGCTAGCTCTCCACAAGGCCGAGATGAAAGAGAAGGAAATGCTAGGGGTCATCCACCAGCTTGAAGGACAGCTGGATGTGGAGAAAAATGTTCAAGATCAACTCAGCAAAAGGTCTGTAGCCAGTCATATATTTGGCTGACCTCTAGATTGGTCTAGCAAATCACCAAGCAGTAGCTAGTTGTATTCAATTCTGTGTGAGAACTGTGCACTTCTGTACTGTTTGGATGAACCTGAAATTGAACATACCATGTGGGTTCACTGGTTCACAGACATACGCCCTCTATCATGAAAATTCCCCAACCAGTTTTCAACCAAAATGATTGGTGCAAACTGCAAACGTCTAAAGCACCTATGCTTCTAGATACAAATGCAGTTCACCTGAACATTACAAAACTGGTATTAACCCTAACAGTCCTCAATCCTCCAACAGGTAAAGGCTACAAGACTGCTATTGTTAATATTGATCAGGTCTGTAAGTTAAGTTAAATGCATTACAAATTTGCCTTTTCAAAACATCCCCCCCAAAATATCTGCATCTCCAGTGATGTGAGAAGAGGTGCTTCACTTGGTAGTCGGTAGTTGACCCAAAGAGTCTTGCAGTGTCCCGCACTCTCTTGTGGATCAGTTTAAAACCAGTCACATACCCAAAACACACTGTCTTGCTTTTGGTAAGTCTATATATAGGACCAATTTATAGCAATTTCACTGAAAAGGACCTGTGTCTCTTGATGTTGTAACAGCTGTGAGAGCCAGGAAGCTGAGCTGCAGAAACTGAGAAAACTGACGAAGGATAAAGAACAAGATATGGAACAGCTGAAACACACCGTGGAATGTAATACAAAGTGAGTTTTTTCTACGCAACATGTTACCACTGGATCTGCTGCACTTGGACACAATACTTGTCTCATTCATTCCCAATTCTTTACAACCAATTAATTTCTTCTTTTTTTGTAGATTTGTCTTAAAATTGAAGAATTAAGCAGAACCCAATGGACACATGACCTACAGGGTCCTTGTCCCTTGAAAGATTGTGTACAAAGAATGTGACGTTGGTTTTCTGAACAGAGAATTTTTTAAGGTAATCAGGATGGGTAAGCCCTGAAAGAACCAGTTTTCCTCCACGTATTTAAGCCTCTAAGCATGGATGTTATTCATAACCACACTGATTAGGGTTTTATGCTGCTCAAAAAAACTCTTGTAAGTTTTAATGTCAAGACAGTACATATAATTACAGTGACCAAAACCTGAGGCTAACTTACACATCACACACTGCCTCTGGTTTCAAACGTTAAACTTTATGACGAAGCAAACAGGTGTAGCTGCTGCAAATTAATGCCAGATTTACCCGAGTTCTAAGCTGAGCACAAAGTACGAAGCGACCATGATGTTTTGATGCCAGAATAGAATTCCCATAATAGAATGGATGGAATTTTTGTGTTTTTTTCTACTTGTGTACTTATAGAATTGAGCTTCAGCACATCAAGGCAGAACTCACCCGGGAAATTATTAACAAAATTGAAACCTCTCCACAGAAAGAACACCAGAACTACACAGACCAATCAAAGGTCAGGTTTGAGCTTTCAGCATTTTAAAACTCATACGTAAAAATGAAATCACAGTAACAAAGTGTGGTCAATTTGTTTCGAGCGTGGTTCTTAAACTAATCAATTCTTTATGCAAACAGCTGGAAAAAGGGTTGGATATATGCATCCAAGGAATTTTATCGGTCAAGTTAGTGGAGAAAACTTGCAAGATCATCAGTTTAATAAATTCTTCAATTGAGCTGAGGAGCTGGGAAGACATTGTGACCTTCACTATTTCATTCCAAAATTTTTCATGACAAGATCATCACATAAATAATTGACCAGTATACTTGCAAAATATAATTATCAAAAGAAACCATAAAGGTTTTCAGATAGAGAATCTGACAAAAAGTCAATACAGCGAGTTTTGAAACAATTGCTATAAAGTTGTAAATAAAGAAAGGCATTAATTGAATTGTCTGTTTGGAAATGATTGCGCAGGATCAGGTCTTAGAACTGCAAGCTCAGTTGTCCAAGATGGAAGGGCTCCGATCTGTGGACAAGCTAACAATAACATCGCTGACAGAAGATCTTAACAAACTGCAGCAGCTTCTGGCTAAGCAAAAGGGAACCTTAATTAAACGCAAGTGAGTACAGACCATGTGACAGCTGTTTACCAAAATTATACACTTTGGTTTAAGATATCACATACCCATTATGATCATCACAAGAAATACCATTCCAAGCAATATTCTAAAGTATTCGAGTAGAAGATCAAAGAAACAAGACAGTTTTGGTGATACAGTACTCTTTATCGATACAAATAACACTAGCGACGTCAAACATCAAGCTCACCATAGGCTTTGTGTAACTATATAATCCTAAAAGAATGGTTAACACTCAATCAAATTTCCCAAGTGACAAGAGAAAGCAAAAACGTCTACTAATGTGTGAAAAATATGTAAGAATAAGAAAAAAAGAAATCTGACTCTTCTCAGACTTAGCAAGTCTAATTGAAGATGGAATCTCTCTATTGCCAAAACCTTCAGTAACAAAAGTGTCGTAATGTGGGCGGTTTTGAGCCTCAACTCGGCCATAAATTCTTGTCACCACATGTCAAGATCTCTGATGACAAAGGAGCACAGAAAGTTACTTCAGCCTGCATAGTGGAGCCTAGCCTGGCACTTGCCTGTAATCCAAAGAAATAAATAAGAAGTGATTATATCACGTGCCTCCATCTTAAGAAGGCAAAGAAAAAATAAGAGCTCAGAGAAATATAACTCATAGATAAAGGGGCACCTCTCGTGCATTGTAAAGAGTTGTAATTGTCACCATTGTGCGATGGTTACAGGTAGTGGGGCGGTCATGTCATGACTCAAGCCTTGCCGTGTTTTGGTGCACTTTGAGGCAAATGAAGATATTGTCAGTATAGACAGAATTACAAAACAATTAGGCAAAGCTCAAAAATTGTATCCATCAGATTTGGGTTACAGCCAGAATTTTCTTGCCACATACTGTATTGTTACTAATAACTCACTCCCTCTGCTGTGCTTACTAAAAATTATAACGTATATCTGCTTAACAACCATAGGTAGGTCTTGAATATTCCAATTTCCGGTATACATGCTTTTCCCCAAAGCGCTTTCATTGCCAATGATAGTTCAGGGTGGTGGTCGGGACCCTTAATATGACCATATGGCAACTGTCTCTCCAACCAGCATGTATGTGGGCGCAATCAGTAGATCTGTGTTAGAGCTTGATGATGCTGTACTAGCTATCTGTAAGTAATTTTACCTTCCGAACATTGGATTTTCTTTCTAATCATCTGGATTTTGGAAAATCGTTTCAAGAGAAGAAAGCAAAAGTTTTAGACTTCATACAAGATAGTAATTGCGTCATTGTCCCGACGGACAGTTTCATGAAAATGTTGATATCACTCATGCATTCCACTATAGATCTCACACTAAACCACGCAGAGACGACATCAAAGCAGCTCTTGCAAAAGCCCATGTGAGAGCGCTCTCCATGAGCATGGCCGACAACTACCCCACCGCACAAGTAGAGTCGCCGCTCTTCGGCAGCACGGATTGGTTTGAACTCGGCAAGTCATCGACTGTCAAGAAAAAGCCCAGTTACGGCTGTTGGGAGACTAAATCCTCGGACTCCATAGCAACGAGTAGTGACGAATATTCATCTTGAAGAATTGATATGTATAGAAAGCGTGGATGACAAGTTCTCATGGCTAAGAAAGCCTTCTGACGTAACTTACAGTAGGCAATCACGAATTCTGCAAACACATGTCCCGACATGGAAAATGGTAGAAAAAGGATCCTCCACTGCAGCATATGGAGGTGTTTTTCCTGGTTCACGTAGTATTGGCAAGAACAGTAGGTCCAGCATTCACGTGATTTCGTGGTCACATAGTTTACCCGTAAAGTAACAGTGGTTGCTATCACAAAATGTTCTTTCTTTTCATTGTTTTGCGAAATAAAAGGATAAAATGAATTTTATATGCTCGGTATGTTTTAATGCTGAATGAAAAAGACTTTCAACTATTTCGCCAAATTTGGGTACAATAATTTGAAAGGCAAGTTAAACTTTCAGGTGTAAGCAAACTCAACCTCGTGTTATGTGTCACAACCAGCAATTTGACGGTACTATTGTACAGCTCTTGTGATTGTTGAAAATATTTACCTCAATAAAACATTCAGATTTACTCAAGAAGGTCAAATAGCGGCAAAATACTCATTCGAGTTGAAGAATTGGCAATTATATGGTATAAAACCTATTAATGCATTTATTACATTTGTTTTGAGTTCGGCTGAACACACACACGTTATAAGAGAATTTAAACGACATTATTCCTCGTATTAATTTGACCTCACTGTAAATATTTTTGAATGACCTAAATTCATCGGGCACTTCAATTTCTGCAGGCATTGAAGAAGGCTTTGATTTTCCGTTTTTAATTGAGGACTGAGTGTTGACATAATGAAACTGAGTTGGAGGGTTTTGTGAACGTCATCAGGGATAATCGAAACATGTTCCCAGAGCTATGGCTGCCTTTGTTTTCAGCACGATCCGCATAGAGGCCTATATCCCACGGGGAAGACAGAAAACGAGCTCGAGAGAACAGATTTGAATGCAGTCTCAGTGTGTACGAACAAACCCCCGTGCACGTGTGCGCACCCGGAACCGTGTATGAAATCTTACTGTGTCCATGGTTCAACTGTTGGCGCTCCATGGACCTTTTTTTCACCCACGTGACTGGATTGCGCTAAATGTAAACAATACCACCACGTGTGGACCGCCTTGGCCACGGTGATCGCATATATTCCTACGGGCAGCTTCAACCACGTGCAGGCGCACGTGCCAACGCTGCAGCTTGACTATATAGTTCATCTTGAAACATCAAGCTGGTTCAGTGCCGTATCAGTGTTATCGAAGGCAGGTAGCCACCGTCCAGTAAAATCGAGTATGACATCATGGTCATTTTGTTTTAAATGCAGCGCACAGGTTAGCTTTTAAATTGTCAACATGATCCAAGGCATGCATAACCTCTCTCAACTTTTTTTTTAATTGCTATCAGTTTTTTGTTGACACCCCAGTTTGCCAGAGGGAAACACTATTAAAGGGAGAACAGTGGATGTTAATTTATCACCCTGGGTGTTAAACTGTGTGTAGTCCCAATAACACTCAGGGTATTCGTTACACATTTTTTTTTAAAGATTATACATTTCGGTTAAACGACCATTGATGGAAGAATTGATGGAAAGGATGTTCAGTGCGGCAGGTAGCTGCCAACAGTGAAATTAAAGCATAACGCAATGGCCGTTTTTTACATGTACATGTGTACATGTCCGTTTGTTTTTAATCAGTCAGCATTTTCAAAGTTGTGCAAACGCGGGCATCAATATACAAAAGTACCCGAGATGTGTGGTATACTTTTGACAAGCTAGCGCTAGGTTGAAGCAAGCATATAGATAAGGGCTTAATCATCTTTGAATGCACTTTAACATTCAGTATTGGGTGGAGAGTGTTTTATCATCAATAAAACACGTGTTTATAGAGAAAATAATGAGAAATTTATTTTATTTATCAAAAATGTTTTTCATTGTCACCGTGAATACATTTTGTACGAGCATACCCGTCGATATCCTGATGGATATGATGCAATTAGGGAATGAGAAGTCGTGATGCTGAAAAGGTCATGGTATTTGTTATGCCCGTGGGAGAATCAGCAAAGCCAGGCTATCAAAATGAAAAGAAACTGATGCAAATTGGAGATACCACTAAACGGTAGAGATTATATTAAGATGAAGAAGTCTTTGCTTCATTTCACTCCACCCCATTCGTGAAATATCCGAAAAATGCCTTATAGTTGACTTGGTATTGCCTATGCCTTATCATGGGATGCATTGGTGGTAATAAGAGGTGTGTTGCCTCTGTTAGAGGGGCGTGTCCTCCCGCTTGGACACCGTGGGGTTGACAAATGATGCAACCAACTTGACGAGAATCTACCTGCGGCAGAGGCCAAACAGGGGTGCATCAAGATTGAATGTCTTCACCGGCGACGCCGGAACAATTTTCATGGGGGGGGGGACATCAGCCCGCACCACTGTCTCTGCTCTCAGGCTCTGGGCTGAGGCCAAAGAGGAGTGCATCAAGATGGGAAGTGTCTTGGTCATGCCACAGTCTCAGGAGGAAACTCATTTCCTTCAGGGGAACGTATACCACTGGTTTTAGATCAACTGTGATATCTATATTAAGTATCACTTGGGGAGTACTGTTACATCTAACAAAACATGCACAAGAATGTGTAAAGCTTTATCGTCTGTTCGATCAACTGCATAAATCGTTAATCAATGCGGGGAACTTCTAGCAGTGGTTTTGAGTTTATAACTGCAAAGGTCTTCGGGGTTAGTTGAAATTACATGCTTGTTCGTTCTTCAGTTCACCTTAAACCAATTAAATCATTACGAAAAATTCCGGTCTTTAGGAGTTAAAACTAAGTTCAAACTAAATAACTTGATTCAAACATTGCAAACGCAATGACTGCTTGGTATAATTGAAATACAGACACAAACGGTTATTTTATTCTCATACAATACATATTTCAGTTTTTTTAGTTTGATATATTTAGAGGAAAAATGTTCAGGAAAATCTCATTCTCTATGATCACAAAAAGAAACCAAACTAAGGGTAGGCTAGGTAATTCGTGAACCGTTACAGCCCAGTTACATCCCAGTTCACGAATTATGTTGGTGAAATGAAGTGAAAACCGACTTAGAATTGTGGCTTGAATGAGAGAGCACCATGTACGCGGTACGCTGTCCACGTAGACATTCAGCGAAGGCTTTTGTTGGGCCTATTTTCCATAGAAAGTTATAAAATAGCTCTTTAAAACGGGTCATCATTTGAGTGTAAAGGGTTCCAAATCAAGCTCCTTACCAAAATTCCACACGGTAACTTGTTATTACAATTGTCAACACTATACACTGTACAATCACATCTGTTGCACGGAATAATTGTTTTTACATAGTCTAGTCGGTTGACGTGGATGAAACTTGCATACATGTGTGACTCCGTTTGGATTTCAGTGAAGAGAGTGATATAATCCACGTAATACTGACTGATTGAGTTACAAACTTTGTATGTTGATGAGTGGAACTGGGGTTGTGCAACCAGGCGAAGTGTTAGCAATAAAACCAAGAAAAGCCAGTTTTGCAGAGCTAGTAAGATGAATGGACAACATCGAATTCATCATCTCGCAGCTCAACACTGCAAAAACTATGGTGTTAAATTTAACACCACCGGTGTTATCAGAAGAGTACACCAACACACAATGGTGTTTAACTTTTAGTTCTATTTGGGGTTACCTTTAACACCCTCCAGTGCATTGTAACACTTATAGGTGTGTAATGTAACACCCTATGGTGTGGTCATCTGATAACACCAAAAAGTGTTGATTTTAACACCACACTTTTTGCAGTGAAAGTATTTGTACGAATGGACTCTTCTTTCCCGTTGCTTTCAGATCAATAGTTGTGGGAAGGACGTAGTTTTGGTGGTAGAATACACTCGGAACTGTCGAGTCGTGCATGAGTTGGGCTCGGCTCTGCTTCGCCCATTCTTCGCATCTACAATCCTCGTCCATTTTCTTCGACACAGCCTACAGTATAGTACACGGATCAATCGACGGCATACAAACGACTTTGCCTCGAGAAGCGGCCAAGATTACTTGGTCAGTCTGATGAGGCTTTGTGCTCGTAAATATTTATCCACTTTGGAATCTGAATCAACAGCCTCGCCTAGAATCCGCTACATTGTCCCATATATATTGTTTATAAAACTGACGTTTTCCCAAGTTGGTAATTGGATGGTCGACCATCCGCAAATTGACGAGGCAATTAACTAACAAATTATTACTTGGCATTGGCAACAAGTTTAACATTCATGTATTAATGTGTTTATGAGAAGGAAACCGCGGCTACCAATTTATTTGGTGCGAGTGTATCCGTCACTGCAGTTCGGTGCAATTAGCAAAAATGAATCGATGCTGACGAGACCACTATATGTAAAATGCATCTTTTCACGTCCTTTGGGGAAGAATTGATTACAAGGCCAATAAAAGAGACTGATGCAAAATACGTGGAACTTGTATTTTTGGACTATATTTTAGCCAGTCGAATCTTCGGAAAATGATGATACAGGAACATTTTAGCGTTAGTGTGATGAGTTTTTGTCTTATCAGTTTCACTCAGAGTAGTGAAAGGTGCGTAAGCACAGTTGGAGTGAAGTGTCCTCCTGCTTGGAGCCAGTTGGGTGACAAATGCTATCGAAAATTCAGCGAGAATCTACCCTGGGCAGAGGCCAAAGAGGAGTGCATCAAGATGGGAAGTGTCTTGGTCATGCCACAGTCTCAGGAGGAAACTGAGTTCCTTCGGAAGAACGTGTTTCACTAGTTTTGGATCAACTGTAATGACATTGAAGTCAGAGGTATGTCAAAGTCTGGTCCTGTTTCCATTTTCCACTTGTTTACATTAATACGTTGTCGATAGAAACAGCTACTCTGCCATGTCCCTGCCTTGTGGATCATCTTCAATGATCATAATTCAAAACGAAGAACCCATAGCACTGGTTATAGTTCAGTTGCAATGATCTTTAACTTCGGTGAAAGTCACATACTTTGCTCGTTTATCATTTCAGCTTGAAGCCAACTTCTGCAACTCATGCCTTGACACTAAGTTCCCGAAATCATTCTTAAGAAAAAAAAACACTAAATAATATGTATATTTTTTATGAAGAAATCGAGAACGTGAGGTTTTTTGTTGTAAAAATATATATAAAATACAAGCATTATATAGATAAAATTTTAAATAAATTGAATGATACAGATAAAATTTTAAATAAATTGAATGACATTTGACTTGAAAAGCCAAAGTTGTCCTCTTCTGATGCAATGTATTCAATTGTTTTTCTTTCCAATTTATTTGGTGCAATTTTAGATTGACTAGCAAAGGCTTTTTATTCTAGACTTGGAAATAGTTTTTGCTAAAAAGTTCCCAGCAAAGTCTAAGTACATGTAATCGTGCATTTGTGTAAATAAGCGAATAGTCAGCTTTCATACACCCTCTACAAGTGGTAGAAACATTTTTTCTCATAAAAAAACAATCGATCACCCAACCCAGTTCAAGACTAACCCTACTGAAATTGGCTTACATGTGATTACACCGTTTATACAGTACACCATACTGTAAATAATACCTGAATGTACTAGATGTCCAATGTCCTGCTTAAATATATAGACTGTTATGAAATAACTCTTGAGAAAGTGTTGTGCCATGCGTATTTAAAAATGGGTGTCTCTTTTTCTAATCTTGTTCCCTGCCGTTGTGGAGAGACTAATTTTAAAAAAATGTCTTGCTAACATGTTTTTAATGTTTTCTGTGCATGGTAGGCTCTTGGAAGTGTAAGGATGGTTCTGCAAATGTGGAATATACAAATTGGGGAGTAAATCAACCCAGTAATGGAAAGGGAGAAAACTGTGCAGTGGTCACTGATATCGGTGCCTGGAATGATGTTAAATGTGAGAACCGTTCACCTGTTATCTGCGAACGACCTGAGCCAATGCTGCACTTTTAGACTAAAAGATCTGAATGACACTTGTTGACAATGAAAGTAACTTGTTTTTGAAATGAGATATGCGCCCCACAAGAATAGCAGAACGCACGACGAAGCCACACCCACTCTCGCGTCAACAGTAGTCTCTCGTCCAGTCCGTGATGATGCCATCATACCTAGCGAGGCTACTCCTTGGCTGTAACTCCCAATCGATTCACGATTGCTCATGACGCAGCAAGTTATCTGCGTTCCGCGTGATTGTTCCTTTTCTGATGTGGACACGGTGGATTTGGCACGTCGTGGTGAAATCAGTCAATACGGTTGTTTCAAAGTAGTGCGCCTCCAAAAGTTTGCAACGCGTTGATTAATCACAGTGCGCGCAATCTGTCGACCTAATGCGCGTTTGGAAAAGGTCGACAGATTTCGCGCACTGTTGTTAGTCAACGCGTTGCAAACTCTTTGTTGCGCACTTTGTGAATCGCCCGTCTTATAGGTGCAATAATATCAACTTATTTTTGGCTTGATCGCGTTTCAATTGTGTCACATTTGAAAGAATGCTTTAAAAATAAGCAAAAATTTCCTTTTACATTTGCGAGGACGATAAACCTTATACAGTGTACATCTGACTTCGGCTCGAGCTAATAAATCATTTCCTGGAAAATGATAATGAAACAAAGTTTTACAAATAATAAAGTTTACTTAATATTCAACAGCTAG